AAGAAAACCAGGAGGAAGAAGAGGAGAAGAAAAAGGAGAAGGAGGGAGAAGGAGACAGAAGAGCAATCGATGACTGAGTTCAAAGCAATGGGAAAAAGCAACAGAGCTTAATATAAAGTCCTTTACTTTGTTTTCACAAATCATTACGTCAAGCAGAGAAAACAATGGTTCTCAAGGAACTTAGAAAACCTAGAGCTGTACTGCGGGAAGAAGGGAATTGCCAGAAGAATGGGAACATGAAGATTATGAAGCTTAGCGCCTATAAGACGGAAACAATAGGTAAAATCATAACTTTATTTACTTCATAAATTAGCTTCTAGGTCAGGGTTAGGTTAGGGTTAGGCTTGCTCTATGAATGGATACTTAAGGAAATGAATAGAGGTGCATTCTTCTGTAGCTCTCATACTGATTTCATGAAACATGGGATTTTGAGAGATTCCAAACAGATAATTTCCTTTACAAAAGCAGTCTGTCCAAGTGAGTATGTCAACTAAGTAACCCCTAAAGAAATGTGTATCAATGTGCCATGTACCCAGCACACAAAGGACTGAACATATTTGCTAACTGGTTAGTGTGGGTAACAAAAACAATAAACTGCCCTATCAGAAAGAACAAAGAGAAAGAATTGGAGATGAGGGTTGCTCAAAATTAAGACTTCTCTCAGAACTTTCCATCATAACTCAGAGAGGAGACAGACAACTGACTAGAAATAAATGCATGGAAAGAGTCAAGATGTGTTCTAGCCCAATAACTAAAGACATGTCTAGAACTAATGCCTGTCGTTAGAAGAGAACTCTGGTTAAATTGTTTGCTAAATGTTTTTGAGGGTAGTTTGAAATGATAAATTCAAAACATTATGGCCAAGTCTTTTCATCAAAGTTGACAGAAAAGCAAAATATCTTAAGTCAAACTACAGAGGGTGTCTCTCTCTGGGAGAAGAGAAGCAACGGCCCACAAAGGATTTAGAACATGAAAGAAAATGAATAAATAAAGAACTGTTAAACCACACTGATGGAATTAAAGGAAAAGAAAAAGAAAAATTGACAAGAACTATTGATAAGGAGTTGTAAGAAGGAAAAGTTAGTAAAATATCAAATACTAGAAAAAGTCAAGAATATGGACAACTAGACTCATCCAAACACATGTCAGTTTTCATGAATATAACTTTCATGTGACACCCAATCCAACATACTTATTATTAATATCACTCATAAAGAATTTGTGGTAGTTTAGAAAAAAATAGAAAACAGAAAAATAGCTGGAAAATAAAAGGCAAGGTAATAGTAGTATACAGAAATATAAATTACTCAAAATGATGAGGGGCAGTGGTGGGGCATGCCTTTAATCCCAGCACTCAGGAGGCAGAGGCAGGTGGATCTCTGTGAGTTCAGGTCTATAGAGCAAGTTCCAGGATAGCAAAAGCTTTTATACAGTGAAGCCCTGTCTTGAAACATGCCTCCTCCCCCAAATAACCCAAAATGGCTCTAAAGTGGACCCATAATCTGACACTAAGCTTCCTACTAGCCATTTCAAAAGGAGTTTAAATCAATTACAGGATTCCTATTATTGATTAAATAAAAGGATAGATATTCCAGAGAAACATGCCTTTTAACATATGAAAAGAAAAAAAATGTCCTTCATTACTTCTCAAAACGACTGTATCACAAAATGGAAGGCACCCAACATAATGTCCAGCATCTCATGGGGCAGCAGCATTTGATGCAAATCGGTGAATTCACAATAATGGTTCTCAGTTCTAAAATCCAATTTGGAAAACATAATTCTATTATATACACTTCAACAGTCCAGCTATTCTGAAACACTATTACTTGCAATCAAGATTTTAGTAAAGTTTTAATAGTTGGATGTTGAAGTTATAGTTTTTGACACGAGAACTGTATAAGTTTCAAGGCTCATAAGTATAGATCTACATTCTATCACTATTAGCCAGGAAGACAAGTTAAGAAGCAGTTACAAAAAATTAAGAAGTCTAAATAAGATACATGTCTGAAATAATGGTCACCCATCTCTACACAGAGGTACACCAAAAGATTTATGCTCCACTCAAACCCAGTGCAGAAAGTAATGATCTGAGGATAAGAGAGGAAACTGTTCTAAGTAAAGATTTATAAGGAATAGGATGAGAAGCTGGACACATGGACAAAGGACCAGACTCTCCCTTCTAACAGTAATAAATGTACTGCATTCTTAATGCCTCTGAAAACAAATTTACATGAATATAATTTGGCACACACTTTGTGTGTGGTCATGGTATAAATTTATTAAAGGAAATATATTTTCTTTTTTATATTTTATAATTACAATTTTGCACAGGAAACTTAGCAGTGTACATTTGATCCAGGTCAGTGGTGAGTTCTTTGGCCTTTGCCTTTTCCAGCTTGGCAATTTGAGCCACAGATTTAGGACCCAGGACATTGCCTCCCCAGTGGTGGTAGATCTCATCCTAGCTGTCATTGTAATTGGTAACTGGTCCTAATAGTTTCCACCAGCACCCTATCTTCAGATCCAACCTGTGTGAAGGCAACAGTGGTGCATTCTTCTGTGGACCAGTCGCCTCAGCCTGGCCTGTTGGGGAATATCATTTTAAGATGTGTTACTTTTGTTTATGTTGCATTTGTTTAATTCTGTGAAGCTGTGTTACTGTGCCTATCTGAAATGCCCGATGGTCTAGTAAAGAGCTGACCAGCCAATAGTGGGGCAGGAGAGAAAAATAGGTGGGGCTGGCAGGCAGAGAGAATAAATAGAAGGAGAAATCTGGGAGAAGAAAGAAGTAGCCAGAGAGGAAGGAGGAAGACTTCAAGGGCCAGCCACCCAGCTACACAGCAAGCCACGGAGTAAAAGCAAGGTTTATTGAAGTAAGAGAAGAGGAAAAGCCCAGAGGCAAAAGGTAGATGGGATAATTTAAGGAAAGCTGGGAAGAAACAAGACAAACTAAGAATAAGACTCTGTGTGTGATTTATTTGGGAGCTGAGTGGCGGGCCCCCCAAAAGAGCAAAAAGAACAACAACACTGGCCTTTCCCTTGATGATGCAGTAGAGGACCCCCATCTTGTGACACAGGGCAGGCAGGAAGACCACCAGCTCAATGGGGTCTACATTGTGGGTGGTCACCACCAACTGAGCCTTCTTGTTCTCTACCGAGGTAGTGACTGCATTGACCTCTGCTGGAAGGACAGGGCCTCTTAGTTGGGAAGTCCCTTTTGACAGCATGTTCTCATCATGGGTCAGCAGCCTTTTCTGCTTCTCATGCTTTATCTCCAGCCTGTAGCCATGGGCAAGCTTAAGCAGCTGGGTAGCTGTTTGCTTGTCCAGGGCCTGGGGGAAGGAGTTAACAGCAGGAGGTACTTTGAGCCACTTATAAAGGACGTCTCTTTGCCACTGCAGCCTGTGAGATCTCTTTTGGGCTGATGTCCTGCACAACGCCAAAGTTTCTAGGCCTTGTCTGAAATAGAAGATTCACCATCTTTTAGGCCTCCTGTTTCTTCACAATGGTGGGGGCCAAGGCCACCTTCTTCCCCGTGGCCTTCTTTCCTTTGGGCATCTTGCTCGGCAAATTATGTTTTCTGTCTATGATGGACTCCTTGTTTTCTCTTAAAATACTATTTAATGATCAACTTCTTTAAATTAGTGGTCAAAAGGCCAACTCAGAAAACAGCTAAGAAGCAATGTACATAAGAACAATGAAATGTCTTAAATACATTCCGAAAAACTTGCTGGTGAAAAATTCTACTCTCTAAGTGGTAACTGAAGTCAGCCTTTGATTTATCTTCGTCATAAAGAACGCTGAACTGAATAATAAACAAACACTGAAGTACAACTGGTGGCAGCTACAAACTGAGAACTAAACTGCCTATCCCACTGATGTTTCAGTCCAGCAGAAAGCTGATAAGATACTTACTAACAAAACATAATGTTTGAAAAATGTCCACACAGAGAATTGAATTCAACAACTGAGAATCAGGGAAATTGCCAGACATTTTTTTTTTCAGTGATGTATGGATAAAGTTTTAACAATTTACATTTCCATCTACTGAATTTCTTTATCACTTTTCTTTTCTTTCCCCCTGTGTTTTGAAACAGGGTCTGTCTACATAGCCCTGGTTGTCCTGGAACTCACAGAGATCCACCTGCTTCTGGCTTCCAAGTGCTGGGATTAAAGGTGAACCACTATACCCAGCCTTGCTTTAAGTTTCCTTACTTGCTATTTTCTTCAGGGAAAGCAAGATTTATTGCTGAAAGTACAAAAGCATTTAAAACACCTGTGGATATTTAAATTTAGGAGAGCAAAACTGAATAACAGCCAAATATAGCTATGTACACAATCACAAACATACCAAAAAACTGCAATTTTCCATCTTGATTCGTATTTATTAGTATTACATTTTGCATGCATACATGCATACACACACACATATGGCATGTAGGCATATGTACATATTGTGTACATATGTGTAGAAGCCAGATGGCAGATGTTGATGCTCTATTTCTTCTTCAATAGCGCTCTATTTCACTTATTAAGAGAGGTGCTCCTTTGTGGTCAAAGGTCACTGATCAGACTAATCTAGCTGGCCAACTTGTTCCATGTGGTCTAACCTACCTACTCAGCACTTCCATAGATTTTCATGCTTGAAGAGTAAAAACTCTACTCACTGAGCATCAACCCAACACCCAGCATTACTTTTAAACATGGAACATGTAGTACATTTAGAATACTGTTAGGCACATCTAATGAAAATTCCTATTAAGATAAGTCTTATTATGTACATAAAATGCCATTCTTTCAAATCACATGAAGCTTTTCAAGTTAATATTCCACAATGCTCCTGTCTGTAACTGACAGCAGCAATCAGGATCAGATACTCTATACCAAAACACCAACTAAAAGTGGGCATAAAACTAAGCTTGTGGCAACTAGAAATACATGAAGCTAAATGTGTAAAACAAAGACATTTCTAACATATTATTTTTAAATAGACATACTTATCCCAACCAACAGCTCCTATCTCATTAAGAAGGTCTATGCAGAAACTGCGAGAAGGTGGTTGTACACACAAATCTTGTCTATTCTTTAAAGCAACTTCCTGTTGAAAGAAAAATATTTTAATTGGCTGTGGAGTACTAAAAAGAGAATTATTAACTAGTTATAAAACAAAATTTCATAATCCTTTCATCACCTAACTAAATCGCTCACTATTTTTATGGAAAACCCAGGTGGCGGTTTGTTTTGTTGTTATTGCTTAAAGACTGTGGACGACACCAGGCACAGCAGCCAGAGTCTCCATGCAATAACCTAGGGAACTGAAAAGGAGCAACCAGAAGAGAAACAAGCACTCGAAATAGGTCTTACAGAGGCGTAAACCTGACTTTAACATTTCCTAGTTTAGACAAATTAGAATCATTGGTTTTTAAAACAAATAGAAATAAAATAATCTACCTCAGAGAGTCCTTTTCAAACATTCAGCGTTTTCAATAATTAAAAATATATGTTGCCAGGCGGTGGTGGCGCACGCCTTTAATCCCAGCACTCGGGAGGCAGAGCCAGGCGGATCTCTGTGAGTTCGAGGCCAGCCTGGGCTACCAAGTGAGTTCCAGGAAAAGGCGCAAAGCTACACAGAGAAACCCTGTCATCAAAAACTAATATTACTAAGTGCCAGAAAACATTTATAAATCTTTATGAACAGGTTCCATAGCTACTGACTTCATGTGAGCACCATTCTCAAGGCCATCACTTGGACTTGGTACATTGTCAGTAAGGACACGGCCTCAGAAATAAACTAAGCATTCTCACATTTTTAGGTGCATTATCTTAAATGGTAATAAAACCACCACGTTCATCTATAATCTGTAAGAGCGGTAGACTACAGGATCTTGTTTGTATTCAGAAATACAGCACAAATGTACAAAACAAAGTACTGTAAGCCAAGGATTGATAAGAGGGTCTTACTTTAGCTGAAATTAATAAATGGTTCCTGAAAAGTAAATGACCATTACAGCCGTAACTTACAATCCAATAAGAATTTAATGGGATACAGTCTTGTTCTAGTTCCATGTTCTTATATTTGCATATTAAAACTGTAATAAACAGGAGAAATTTTCCAAATTTTTCTCAAATATCAAAGCAATGTGAAACATACGTTTCTTTGCCTTACTCTTTTAAAGTTCCTATACTGTGGTCTTTGATGTAGTTTGGTAAGTTTGATAACCTTTATTAGGATTTATAAATTCATAAATCAAAATTTAAATATAGAACTTGATCCTCAACAATTCTATTCTAAGCATTTTATCAATGATGTACTCAAAGAGTTGCCAGGAGGATAAATAAACAGACTCAGTAGAAAGATCTAGCAACTAAGTTTCCAATATATATACTATGGACACTATAAAAGTTTCAAAACAACTATAAAATAAGAAATACCAAAATGCTTCCAGTTTTCAGCAATAATACTGGCAGTATGATTTTGACATAAAGAAAGATAAAAGAAGCTTAATAAGTTATGCATAACTGTTATGGTTTAGAGCTGAAAATCCCTCAGAAGAGCTTGGTCCCCCGTGAAAAACACTACTGAGATCTTGCATGGGTCAATCCACTGATGAGTTCAGAGCTCCATGAGCCATTAGGAAGCAAGGCATGGTTGAAGAAAGTAAATCACAAAGTAGCAGACCTTGAATAGCTTATCTTGACTTTGTCTACTTATGTCAGTCTCTCTCTGCCTCCAACATATCATAACATAAGCCACTTTTCTCCTCCCAAACATAACCTTCTGCCTCACCATACAGGAACCCAGAGGCCGTGGAGCCAACTGACCATGCGCTGAAACTTCTGAATGTAAATGGAAAAAAAAAAGCCCTTCTCACTGAAGTGTTCTCAGATGTCTCATCACAGAGACAAAAATTAGCCAACACAATGACCAAAATAAAAAAAAAATTAAGCAAATGTAATTAGAAACCAACATTTCAGAATAAAGAGACAGAAGCATAAATGCAAAGAAAAATCCAATAATGCTGGCTGGAATATCGTTATGAACTCACGACTACTCTGCCCACAGGTTTGTCTGCTGAAAAGAACTAGAAGCCGAGACAGCCATGAGTACCCCTCTCTCTAGGCCAAGGTATCTGACACCATTTCCCACGATAATAATGATTAGTGTTACTATAAATAAATCCAACCGATTTATTAGAGTGGCTGATCACAGTTCTAGAACAGGATGAATAAGTATGTCCAGAGCAACTGACATCACACAGCATGGAAGATGAGGTTATATTAAAAGACCACAGGAACCAACAGGAGAAGCGTGAACTGATCAAAAATAGGACAATTTAAGCATCAGGAAGAAAATGACTGTAATGGATTAAAGCTAATCAAACATATAAATCCCATGAGTTAATAATGATTCTTAAAAGCATATTAGTTCCCTGTGGTAGTTGTTAGGCACTAACTCATTACAGTAAAAATTATTCTTTTTTAAAGAAAAGAAGCAAAGACCTTGTTGCTCTAGTATATGCTATGCCTCATGTTAGCCAAATAAAGGTGAGAGGTCTTCTTTAAAGTATTTTTGGTTAACAAACCTAAATGTAAGATTTTTTTTTCTTTTACTGACCATTTGGGACACTGCCCTTTGACAAAGCATTGCACAAGCTGTGGGGTTTTATGCCCTCTACCACAAAATGTAAAATATAACTTAAAGAAAATAAACCACCCTTTATAAATGCCAATGAAAATGGTGGATACGGAACAATCAGCAGTGGATGATAAAATCCTGAGGTGGATACTGATATAAAACTGTACCAGCTGAATCTAAATGAAGAATAGCAGACATCATACAACTCTTAGTGCATCACAGTAAGAAGTACAAAGCACCAAGTACTCATATCAAAAGAAATATGCTGAGATCTGACTGGCAGATTACAAAGAAAAGGTATGGATTATCCTTTATCTAAATTACCTGGGAAATGTTTAAGATTTTAATTTTTTTCAGATTTTGGATTAGTTACATATACATAGTAAGATATTTTGATGGGACCAAAACCAAAGCATAATATTCATATTTTATTTTAATCTATATCATTAGCAATTCTCTGCATGACACAGTCTTAATCTGTGACATCTGCCATTTGTATTATCATGACAGAGTTGGGTACTGGGATATAAAACATTTTGGGGTACAAAACATTTTGGTTTGGAGGTAATGGATACACAACCCTTAAGAGAGTGTGCTGAAAGATTCCATGAATTTCTAACAAATTCTGTTTGCAACATGAGAAATTTTATAGGGCACATGATTTGTTTTGTCCAACAAGGACATGAATGAAGAGAGGCAAAGGCAAAAAGAGAGACAGCATAAATTAAACCTCACATCAGCACTGAGTTCAAGTGTGGGACCCATCTGATAAAAACAAAGCATCTGTAAGGAATGATTACAATTATACATTCAAAATCACTAGCATTGTCCTCATTATTCCCATCATGGTGTACGTGTGTGTTCATGTGTGTTGGGGAGCACATGTGCCTGCAGCACACATGTGAACATCAACGGACAACTTCATGGGATTGGTCCTCTCTTTCCACACTTATGGGAGTTCTAGGGCTTGAACTCAGGTTGCCAGGCCTGCACACCAAGTGCCTGTACCTAATGAGCCATCTTGCCAACCCTAATTAAATATTTTGAAGCAGGCAAAAAGCACTAAGTTAAAAATATACACAGTGATATATTTATAAAGGAATTGGTATAATCTCCAGGATTTCCTGTTAAAATACAATCTCTTCAAAAAATGTTGGGGAAGAAATATGATTGACAAAATGTTGACATTGGGTAATTGACTTAGTTTATTCACTATAATCACCTCTCTTTTGTTCATGTTGAAAAAGTCCTTCATGAATCTGTGTATGTATAAAAAAATTAATTGTGTTTTATGCTATGTCATTAAGTATGACTACTTCATGCAAGCAAAAGTATCTGACTTCAATCCCCATTACCCATATGAAGAGGACAGACATGAAAGCATATACCCATAATCTCAGGTCTGGGGAGGGAGGAACTGGAAGATGTCTGGGGCTCAATGGTCAGCCAAGTTAGCCAAATCAACAAGCTTCAGATCAGTGAGAGACACCACCTCAAAGATAAGGTGGAATACAACTGAGGAAATTGATAGTTGAGTATGTCCACATACATGAAGACACATGTTCATATACCCTCACACAGGTGCACACATACAAACATCAATACACAGATACATACCACTAAAAAGTTTCAGAAACAATCAAGACTTAGTAGATACAAAAAGAGTGTTAGAAAAAAATTCTTACCAAAATCATCTTCAACTCCATCATAAAGCTCACTAGATCAGGAGAGTGCTTCATTCTCTAAATCAAAACATTTTGAATTAATAACTCATGAAATGAATGCTCCACTCATTGAAACTGAAATCAATGTGACAATGGATTAACTACATCTAAATCTTAACAGTATTAATTAGTGAAACACTGGTCATTATTTCTATTTCTACCAATTTCATTTTGAAAGGGTAACTAAAAGTTTTGTCTTGGTTTGCTTTCTACTGTTGTGATAAACACCATGACCAAGAGCAGCTTGAGAGGAAAGGTTTTCTTTCCACTTAGAGCTTGTAGTCCATTTTGATTACCAGGGACTCTAGGCAAGGATTGAAAGCAGAGGCCAGAGGAGCGCTGTTCACAGCCCTGCCCAGTGGCTTGCTCAGCTTGCTCTCTTAGACCACCCAGAATTCCCTGCTAGAGGTGGTATCATCACAGTGGGCAAGGCTTCCCACAGCAATCACCAATCAAGGAAATGCCCTACCAACCTGCTGACTGGCCATCTGATGAAAGCAAGTTCTTGACTGAGGTTCCTTCCCAATAGCTCAAGCTTGTGTCAGTCAAGTTAATTAAAACCAACCAGGACTGCCTCCACGTCTATTTGGGTGAAATGTAGTGAACTGTGGATGAATTCACTTAAAACTGCACACTTGCCTCCATTCCTTCAGTACTCATCACTGAAAAATCTAACAAATGTAGGAAAGCATTATTTTAAAAGGAGAAGTGTAAGGGCAGAGTAAAGAGATGTGAACAGAAAGAACATAAAATATAAAATTCTAACTTCTAAAATCTAGTGTGGTGGTTTGAAAGAAAATGTCTGCCAAAGAAAGTGGCACTATTAAGAGGTGTGGCCTTGTTGGAGGAAGTGTGTCACTGTGGAGGTGGGCTTTGAGGTCTCATAGATGCTCAAAATATCACCCAGTGTCTAAGAGCACTTTCTGTTTCCTGTAAGATGTAGGACTCTCAGCTAATTTTCCAGCACCATGTCTGTCTGCACACCACCATGTCCCGCCATGATGATAATAGACTCAACCTCTGAATTGTAAGCCAGCAACCCCATTTAAATGTTCACTTTACAAGAGTTGCCATGGTCCCGATGCCTCTTCACAGCAATAGAAACCCTAACTAAGACATCTAGTTAATGTATTAGCTAGATTTATTAATGATAGTATATACTTTGCTTCTTGACCTTTAAGACCATGGATAGTCATTTTCATCCTTTCACAGCTAATCGTCCTAATTTAAAAAGAAAAATATTCACTGAAATAAAAACTATTATGATAAAATGGCAAAAACAGCTATCCCCCTATAAACTGAATGAATGTATCAGAGATATGATGTTCTATTTCTGCAACATGTTTTATTCTTAAAATAGCTATAGAATAAATGGTCATATCTTAGAATGCTTTCTCAGAACACTACATCATTTCTCTGCTTGAAAAAAATTACTGCTTGCTTTGTGTTTCTGTTTTACATTGTGATGCATTACACTAGCCCCACATTGTTCAAAACAAAGCTAAATGTAAACTTGTTCCATGTTTTTAGAAGAGAAAATTAAGAGCCTAAAATATCTGAACAGTGCATGAAGGCAAATCATTCCTATAACACGGCTCTGGTGGAATGCACACCTGTGGAGTAAATCTTACATGACTGGTGCTTCTACATGGAACAACTTCCATCAAAGCCCTGTGACCCATAGTCCAGCAGCTGAATCCAGCTCAATACCTTGTTTTATAATGAGTTTTACTGGAATGCAGCCACACCCATGTGTCCTTTGTTTATGGCTCTTTAGATGCTGCTGTCAGAACAGAGTACCACAACTGACAGGGCTTGGTTTTTTATGAAAGCTGAACAACTTTTATAAAAAGTTTGTTGACTGCTTAGGTCACATTTACTGAAAGCACCTTAAGAGAAAATTAGTGACAATCAACTGAACCTTGGAAAAAAAAAAACAAAAAATTAAATGCCGAGTTTTCCCTGCCCAGCTGAAGGCAGCGGGAAAATAAGTGATGGCAACTTTAGGACTCTTCTTTCAGAATAAGCAGAGGAAAATGAGATATTTGTTCCACTGTTTGCTTAGCCCTTATGAGCACATTTCTCGGGCTATTCAAATGACTCAATGGACTCATTCTTGAACTTCTGTGTACAATATCCACTAGTCACAAGCACGAGGGGGCAGTAAAGAGAGCAGAGGTATCTCAGCATTCCATTAAAGCAATGCAGAGCTTACACAGGCAGCACAGCATCTCACACTCTTCTACCCAAGCAGTTCACCCCACACTCCTCCGTGTCCGGTAACACTTCACGAGTGAGCATCCTTGGCCGTTATCATCATAACTGATCTTTAACACAGAATGTAATACAGAACCCCAGGAAAATGACAAAGATCATTATAACACGTGCAATTCTACTAACATTTATTTTTCTGGAAGAGACATTCCATCATATTCACTTATTTCAGTAATAATTTCTTTTGCAATGTTTTTATAATCTTCAAATGACTTTTCAGATAGGGTACACCAAGCACTAAGAATAACTAAGTTAATGCTGCCAAGCTTTCTCCTTAGCCACCCTCAGCTCCTCTCTTTATGAAAGGTCACAGGGATCTAAGTGACTTCCTTTTCACCTTTCCTCTTCATAAACTAGAACTACAAATTCATTATTGCTATACACAGTCTAGGTCCAGATTTCTTTCCTATCAACCCTCTATAAGTTCGGTAGAGAAATCAACCAAGAAAAGCATATGGATGGGGTGACCATGTTTGGAAATATAAAGTCTCAAGGCTGGAAATCAATTTCAAACCCAATGCTGCCTTGACAGTTGTTGATGATTCCAGAAAAACCTCTATGTAATACACAATGTTTAAAACACTTGAAACCTACAAAACACAGCAACTAATAAAGCAGCTTGTTTACAAACCAGGGCTTTAAAGATAAATTTAGCAATTTCTATTCTCATTTTGAAGCATAAGACTTTTAACAGACTTACTTGTTGGACTATTTGATGGTATTCATTAAGTATATTTTTCAGTTGCCAGCTACACAGTAATCTGAAATTTTAACAGGAAAAAATTTTTGCTATTACAAGGAAAAAAATGTATTTCTATGCTAACAAACATGTACATATAATAAAAAATCATATAAGCATAATTCTGACAAGTAAAGAAAAATATTAACCACTCATACTGCTGAAAGTCTTATCACTTCAAACATAGACAACAGCTATTAGTAAGCACCATGCTAATAACACATCTTTTCTAAACTATAACATGTCCAAATGAAAACTCCATTGAAGTAGACACTTCAACACAGTAGGCAGATATAATACACAGTTTGGATCACAATATATCAAATTTACACTTGAAAAACCCTATGTACAATATATTCTCCATATTCTACATTGATATAACTGAACTGAACAGATACTTTTAATTATGTAGGTGTTGATTAAGTTCATCACTTCCAGCTCACCTCAACTCAGCACAGAATATTGGTTAGGTCAATAACTTTAATTATTAAGATGTAGAAAGTCTTGAGTTTGGGGTTGCAGAGATGGCTCAGGAGTTAAGAGCACTGGCTGCTCTTCCAGAAGATCCAGGTTAGATTCTCATGACCCATATGGCAGTTCATAACTGTTCGTAACTTCAGTTCCAAGGGAACCAAGGCCCTCACCTATCTCTCTGGGCAATAGGCATTCAAATGGTTCACAGACATATACAAAAAACACTCCTATACATAAAATAAAAATAAGTAAGTGGCCCAGGTGTGGTGGTGCACAACTCTGATTCTAGTACTTGGGAGGCAGAGGCAGGGTATCTCTGAATTGGAGTGTTGGGGAATATTCAATCACACTGTGAACCTCAAGTTTGGATTTCCACTGATTAAATAAAATTAACCTTGGATCAGGAGGCTGAGTTAGCATCTAGTTGACAGAAAGTAATCATAGAGCATAGGGGCATCTGGAAGAGATAGAGAGACACAGGAAGTAGTAGTGAGGGGTTTGGAGTGGTACTGCTTTTTCTAGTTTGGTGGAGATGTCAGCAATGAAAGAGGGTCAGCTAGTTGCTACTCAGCCTCTCTGAGCTCACAGGTTTTCACCCCAGCCTTTGATTCTCGAGTCTTATTTATAAACAGAAAAAGAGATTTAGGTAAAGCTACTTTTATTGGCAGCAATAGGGCTGATGCCTGTGGGAATATGCCCTGTCCTGAACGGCAAGGCTGCTGCTGGAAAAGCAAGCCAGTAACTGCAGAGTTACAATTGCTGGCTGAAATAGCATTAGATTAAGGTCCAGCCACTGTGCCAAAATTAAAACAACATTTGGTGCTCAACATTTTGGGAACAACCACAGGGACAGTGGACTCATGACAGCCAGCTCTTCCACAGCTGCCACCTGGGCCTTTTTTTGCAAGCACTGACTGTGGTGGTACTGTGTTCCCCAAAATATTGTGTACCTTAATAAACTTATCTGGGGTTAGAGAACAGACAGCCACTAGATACAGAGGCTAGAAAATGGTGGCACTCACACCTTTAATCCTAGCATTCCAGAGACAGAAATTCCTCTGGATCTCCGTGAGTTCAAGGCCGCTTTGGAAAGAGCCAGGCATGGTGACTCACGCCTTTAATCCCAGAAAGCAGCCTTTAATCCCAGGGAGTGGTGGCAGAAAGCAGAAAGGTTTATAAGGCATGAGGACCAGAAACTAGAAGCATTTGCCTGGTTAAGCATTTGCCTGGTTAAGTGTTTGGCTGGTTAAGCATTCAGGCTTCTAGCAGCAGTTCAGCTGAGAGCCATTGGGATGAGGACACAGAAGCTTCCAGTCTGAGGAAACAAGACCAGCTGAGAAGTTGGCCAGGTGAGGTTAGCTGTGGCTTGTTTTGTCTCTCTGATCTTCCAGTGTTTAACCCAATACCTGGCTCAGGTTTGATTTTATTAATAAGACTCTCTAAGATTCCTGCTACAACTGACAGCAAGCGGTTGCCACTTGCCAGGACTCTGGAAAGTAGGCTTACACTTGGAAATTGAAGGAAGGGCTTGAGTTCACCACCAAAACCACACACAAACAGGGAGAAGTCAGCAAATTTGGTGAGATACCTAGGAAGTCCTATAAAGAACAGTTAAATAATATTAAAAAGAAAATCTTTCCCATGTTAAGAATGGGGAACATCAAAATGCAGGGCACTAGGACCCTGTATAGTGCTACTATGGATGGTCTGAAAATGGAAAATTTAAATGAGGGGAGAAATGACTTAGATGGGATTGACATAATGCCAATTGTAATTACTATTAGTTTGGCAACTAATATTTAATCCTTAAAAAAGTGGTTTGATAACTGTGCCAAATGTGATAATTTGACAAGCCATAGAAAGACTTCAATAAAATAGGAAAACTTGGCTAATAACATACAAGTCTTAGAAGGACTTACTATTGATAAGATACAAGCTTTAACAAGACCTACTAATGAAAATAACAATTATACCTTGACACAGAGAGAGGAATTTAGAGTAGAACCTACTGCACCACTGCACTATGAAACTGAAGAGCAGGGGCCTAAGGTTATTAGAATATCAACCTTAATTTATCCAGTTACCATACAAGAATGACCACTAGATAATAGATACCCCTAAGGCTATACAGAAGTTAACTGGAATAAAGTAGAAATGTTAGATTTGAAGAGATTTAAGGAAGCAGTCATTTCATATGGTATGTATTCACCATTAGTGAGGCAGATGTTAAATTCACGGACAACAAGGAACAGAATTATTCCACAAGAATGGAAAGATTTAGTTACAGAAGTATTGGAAGCTGGTCCTCAGTTACAATGGAGAATATGGTGGAGATAGGAAGTGAGGGTCCTAGAACAATGAGAAAGGGCTAAAGGTCATGAAATTTCCCAAGTCTAGCCTCTGGGTGAAGGCCACTATCCTGATTTACAAAGGCAGTCTATATTTGATGATAACACCTTGGTTCTATGCTGTATAGCAGCTTTGAATGCTTGGGACAGGGCTGAAGAAGCAGGAAAGAGGACTGAGTCATTTACTAAAATTATACAATGATCAAAAGAAGCCTTCACTGATTTTTTTTCTTTTACAAAGATTAACCTCAGCTGTAAATAGAATGATGTTTGATCCAGATGTTGGACAAATATTAATTGAATATTTGGCTTTTGAAAATGCTATTTCAGAATACAAAAGGGTGATTAGGCCTTTGAAGTCAAGATCAGCACCCATAGATGAGTGGATCCAAAATACTGATATTGGATCTCACACTTATGATGATACTTGAATAGGAGAAGTGATTTCTAAAAATTTTAAGAAAAATCAAAAGGTCACATGTTTTAATTGTGGTAAACTAGGTCATCTGAAAAGGGGTTTTAGGCAAGGTAGTCTGAGAAACAATGTTTTTTCTAGAGATAATCCAAAAAGAAGGCCCCAGCCTTCTGGAATATGTAGAAGGTGTGGCAAAGGCCAAAGTTGGACTAATGAATGCAGATCAACATGGGACAAGTAAGGTAGCCCTTTGCCATTAAGAAACAGATCCCTGGGCACCAGCCACTCCTGGGAAGACCTGCCCAACTTGGCCCCAGGTTCTGGCCACCGGGCAGGATCCCTTCTAGCCCCACCGGGAAGGATCCCCTTCTCCAAGACCCCTGGCAGACCCTGCAGTCTCCACGCCCTGCCCCCACGCCCATCCGCCTGAGCCCCAAGCCTCTTCCTGAGACTTAGAGGCCGGCCCCCAGCTCCCATCTTGCCCTGGACTTCCCTTCTGGAGCACAGGAGAGTGCCCTAGCTTGCCCCGGACCCCATCCCTGGGCACCAGCCATTCCGGAGAAGACCTGTCCAACTTGGCCCCAGGTTCTGGCCACCGGGCAGGTTCCCTTCTAGCCCCACCGGGAAGGATCCCCTTCTGCACTACCCCTGGCAGACCCTGCAATCTCCACGCCCTGCCCCCACGCCCATCCGCCCGAGCCCCAAGCCTCTTCCTGAGACTTAGAGGCCGGCCCCCAGCTCACATCCTGCCCCGGACTTCCCTTCTGGAGCACAGAGTGAGAGAGAGAAAGAGAGAGAAAGACAGAGAGAGAGAGAGAGAGAGAGAGAGAGAGAGAGAGAGAGAGAAGAGCTCCCATTCTGCCCCAGACTTCCCTTCTGGACAAGAGCTCCCATCCTGCCCCGGTCTTCCAATTTGGACAAGAGAGCTCCCATCTGGACAAGAGAGAGAGACTTCCTGAATCTGTCAGCTCTGTCTGAACCAAGTGTGCGGATAAGGCCAAGAAGGAACCACAAGGAGATGGGCAGACGTCAAGGCAGAAACACATACAACAAAATGAATAGCAATACAGCATCACCAGGCCCTAGCCCTCCTCCAACACCGAGACCTGAACATCAGAAATTGGAAGAAGCAGAAGAAAACAGCCTTATGAATGACATCATGAGGAAGCTAGAGGCTTGTGTAGAGGAAAAGACAAAAAAATGTGAAGAACGCTGTAAACAACTAGAGGAAAGGGCAAACAAATTAGAAGAAATCAATAAAGTCCTGGAAGAAAACAATAAAGTACTGAAAGAAAATCAAGAAAAATCAATGAAACAAATGAAGGAAACAGTCCAAGACCTGAAAAGGGAAATAGAAAAAATGAAGAAGACACAAACAGAGGGAATGCTGGAAATAGAAAATCTGAGTAAACGATTGGGAACTTCAGATGCAAGTATAATCAACAGAATGCAAGAGATGGAAGAGAGGATCTCTAGCGTTGAAGATACAGTAGAAGAAATAGATTCATCAATCAAAGAAAACACTAAAGCCAACAAAGTCATAAACCTAAACGTCCAAGAAATTTGGGACACCATGAAAAGACCAAACCTACAAATAATAGGGGTAGAAGAAGGAGAAGAATACCAACTCAAGGGCACAGAAAATGTATTCAACAAGATCATAGAAGAAAACTTTCCCAACTTAAAGAAGGAAATGCCTATGAAGACACAAGAAGCCTATAGAACACCAAACGGACTAGACCCCCCAAAAAAGTCCCCTCGCCACATAAAAATTAAACAGCTAAA